AATATTAAAAACTACAACTCCATTATACTTCATTGTACGCTTTCACGTAGATATATGGCCAACATGACCACATGAGAAGGGTAAAGGTAAAGCTTTAAAGTATAAAAATCAGATTGTCTATATAAAGAAAGGGTTATCACAAAGTTTTGGTTAACCCCTGATGCAATTTATGCGAAAGTAATTACAAGTTACGCCGTTATGATGGCGCCACTTGTAATTATTCCAACATTAACATCTTCAGGAATTAACCAAAACTTTATGAAAATCCTTTTTTTATTTAGACAATCTGATTTTTATATTTTAAAGTTTTACCTTTACCCTTCTCACGTGGTCATATTGGCCATATGTGTATAAAATATGAACATATTTACTCTGTTCAACGTGTTTGTACTTCCTCCATGTGATGACAAGCATTCTAATCGTTCATCTAAATTCTCTAGTGTTTTATTTAAAATAGCTAAATCTTCACGACTTTCATATAGAGCTTTCCAAACATTCGATGGTAACGGTATTAGTTCATTATTTTTAAACTGCTTTGAACAACGCTTTGTTGATCGAGGACTGTATACTTCAGCTATTTTACAATCTTTGAAAGGTGATGGAAGAACATCCGTGTGACCGTTGTTTTTATTCTGTCGAACGTAATTAGATGGTAAAGGTACAATCGTCTTTGATTCAATGATATCAGGAATTATTAAAGGAGATTCCGCAACTGATACTTTACAATTGTTGTTTGAATTAATCAGTTGATTGCAATAAGAACGGTGCATTGCTATACGATTACTATTGTCACCATCTAAACATAAAATACTTTTACATGAAGTTTATTTTTAACGACAAATTGACCTGAGCAGCTAAAATGCGAACCTTTGTCGGATTTTTGATTGTGCTTACTGTTGAGTTTTGATAATGTTCGGTGATATAAATGTTTTCTGTACTTTTTTAACGATTGTTTTGCCGTTTGTGAATGATCTGAATCTCCACTTTCAATCGATGAACTAAATCGAATGATATCTTCAATATTGTATTCATGTTCTTCAGACAATGATACAGCAGATAAATCTTGTCTCGGCGTATAAACATCTTCATCATTATGAACGATCAATGTTTTTGTTGTTCTTCTACTCTTACCATCTAACAGCTCATCATCAGATATTAACAGTTTCTCGGATGAAAATAGTGATGATCGAATACCGCTATCGCGTGACGTTGAATGACAACCTAAGTAAAAGAGAGAGCATCTTCATCAGTTTCAAGGATAATTTTCATTTCTACCTAAACTTTTGATTGTTTGGTGCTGTTGTACCCATTCTCCTATGGATGTACCTAAGGGAATTGGTAATTCGTCGTGTTTTAGATCAATTGTAACTGATGTTTTCGTTGGTGGTAATGGTGGACGATCAACAATTTTTGAAGATGGTATAGTTGTTGTCGACGAGGAATTTTTATTTGGAAGATATTTTATCGATGGACAACTGAACAACGATAAGTTTGTGTCACTTGTCGTTGAACTTGAACCATTTTGAGTGTGAAGTGTTCGTATTTGTTTGTAGGAATGAGATTGATCACCATTGACGGAAATATTCGTTTTACTAACGGTACGAGGTACTTCACTAACCTATGCATAGCAAAGGAATGTAATATAATCAGTTATTTTAATCAAAGAAAAATCAGATACCTCGTACATCGGCTGAACTTCATGAGTGATCTCTAATTTTGAATTTTCATCGATATTTTGTGAAATGGAATCCTCATCTTTTTCTTCCTTGTTCAGATCTTGCCTAATACTACATGATGCATAAGAAATCACTGACTGACTTTTTTTTTGTAGTAATGGGAATAGACACTGTTGTGACTTTTTATGCAAATGTTTTTGTTCCAATTCTTGCATACACAGAACAAAATTGTTATGATGATAAATTTGTTCTAAATCATCATTATGCTGACTGAATTCTAAATCTTGTTGGTTGTTAATAATTTGATGATGTTGAGTTAGATCTTGAATATCTGTGGCAGCAATCAATTGAGGTGAAGTGTGAGTAAGAAAATCATTACCAATCGTTCGATTTGGTAGAGTAAATAGATTCATCTGGAAAATATAGAACCGATAATAAAATGCAGTAGTATAGTTTAACTGTTTCATGTCAACTTACTTTCATTAATCTTTTTTGCCTTAATTTCTGTGAAATACCTTCTCCTGATGAGCTGACAAAATTCTTATTTTTTCCCAATTCTTTTAACGAACTTTCTGCTGAATGCATTAGGTATTCATCATTATCATTTTGAACTTGATTATTCACAAGTGTTGCAGACGTTCGAGATAATTTCTTAATAAGAGGAATCGGTGATACTCGTGGAAATGTTTCGGCAGCTAAAATGGTAAAGATGATTTCTCTTATTAGGATGAAGAGAAATCCTCTTAATGATTTAATTTCTTTAAGTAAACCTAAGTACTACTTCTGTCTTGTTCTTGATCTTGAATATCGTCTTCATTCATGATCATTGACGAAAGTTGTTCGCTGATGGAATTGATTTGCGTTGACCTCATTTGAATTTCCATTCCCACATCAGTAGCTTGGAAATCGACGGGATCACAATCAAATTGGGTTTCTTCATTATTTTTTACACTGACGGTCAATGGTTGATCTTTAATTAGGAGTGGCAGAATTGTAGAAGATTTGACAGAAGCCGATGCTGATTCAACTATTTCTACATGTGTTTGAGTGCTGATATTGGATACGCAAATTTTATTAACAATAATTGGAATTCGGACTTCGCCTAGAACAAAGATGAGAAAATCAAACGTTCCAACCTCCACTTGGAAATATGTACTGCAAAAAACATCATATGATCAAAATATTCGATTACGCTTCTGGAGCGTTCGAGCAGAAAACGATGATTGATGTTGTTTAAGAAAGTGTTTGTTTGAAAGAGCGCGGAGAAATGAGTAAGTCGATTACCTTCTACTTTAGATTGATCTATTGTTAAATAGGCTAAATTTTGTAAATATTTTCTCGATTTATGACGTCGACGTTTCTCGTGTGACGTTTCTGACTCTGTGGATGGAAACGACTGTTGTTGAGAACATGCTTGGTGTTTGAAACAAAGATCTGATGGTTCAACTTCGCTACTAAATTGTGGAACTGAAGCACATAATTGTTTGTGTTGTTGTTGTCTATCTATCATTGAGGCATTATTATTATGATTATTATAAGTATGATGATGTGGTGGTTTGTGTTTACTTAAGCTCCGAAAACGATCACAAATATCTGTGAACCAAAGAAAATGTCGCTTCTGCTGATTATTGACAGGTGCGTGAGATGTGTTTCTTGCTGAATTAGATTTACGACATGATCGTGGAGGTATTGAATAGGATAAATTTGTCGAATAAGAGTTTCTGTAAGATGTGGATTTCAAAGTTCCATTACGATGGTGGGACATATTCACTTTTCTTCTCTCGTTGTTCATATAATCATGCAGTACTACACATACACAGGCGCGCGAATTCAATTATTCTCGAGAAAAACAATAATAAAGTAGTCTCAATGAGTCATCACTATTGATCAGCAGGGTAAGTCCATTGAAAAAAAACAGCATACTTATTTATTTCAGAGAAGTGAGACTGCGGTAAAGAAGACGAGTCGAAGACGCAAAAATGTTAAAATAATTAACAGAACATACGTTAACATTTCGACACAAGTGGCTGCTTTTTATTCAATTTTAAATGAATACAAAATAGGAGGACAGTAAACAAAATATTGTTTTTAAATTAAAAAAAACAATGAATGTTGGTAAATAAAGGAACACGCTTATTCATTGAAACTGATTAGAAATTCATTACGCACCAATAATTTCGTATTCCCTTCGAACCGTAAGCCATGGTTTCCTCGCTATTTTTCTGAAACTACTGCTATGACTCTGTTACAAACATCAAATCTGGCACAGTTCCTCGTTAGACTAATCTTTCGCAGCTATTGAATCTTCATTTTTATCATCATTAAATTTCTGGCATCCGAGTATTATGTCCATGATTTTACCATGCACGGATTTCTCCTAGAAGCATTCATTTTTATGCGAAATGTGAAGAAATGCCGAGTTTAAAGAAATAGCCAGTTCTTTCAATATCGAGTAGATAAACAGCCCAAGAGCTAGAGAGAGTTTGTGCTGAATTTGAAGTATTTATGATTTTTAAATTCAGTCGAGCAGATCATCCACATACAGAGCACACAACACTACCTATTTAGAGAATATTTTTCATTATAGAAGCCCTTAGGGTTCTCCTCTCAGTTTTGATATCTTTAGAACGTTCATCGCTTCTACGAACCGTTGGCTTATCATTCCTGAATAATAAAAGAATTTTCTTTTTCCTTTTGTTTACTTCTCCGGCAACTTTCACGCAAAAATGAATGGTTTTATTGATAGATACTTGCATATGCTAGAATTCAGAACTGGATTGTTTTGGAAAGTTTTTTTGCAGGATAGAAACAGTATGTGACAGAATACGAATTTCGAACAACACAAGTTAGGAATATCCCCGATGCTGGCACGTCAATAATACTCTCCGTAAAAGATAGGGTGCTAAAAGACTGTTTTTCATTGAACGAAGAGATTTTGCGAAATACTAAACGACAGTTGTGCTGGCTGTCTCGATCACATCATAGCTGTTTTCCAGCGTGCATTTTGAAAAGATGGTAGAACCCAAATGTCTTCATATTTTCTTTCGTGCTGGAAATGAGATAAACAACGAAAGTCAACAAACTAAGAAATTCAAGGGATCAAAAATGTTCAAGATATTCATACATGTTTATCGAATAAAAATTAATGATATGAATGAAAAATGGGCTTAAAACAAACTATCTTCTTTCACAATTACATTCAACATATGAAATGTTAGTTGGATGGAATATTAGTCTTTTTCTTCGATTATTTAGCCGTGTTTATTGTTTTGTGTAAACTCTAATTGAAAAGTATAAAAAATATAAAATGCTCCGTTCTCTTTACTAATAATTTCCTGTTATTAATGATTTTGGTTTTTTATTTGACTGAAGATGATTCAAGTGTTTGAAATCACACGGTGGAGATATATTCGACTTTTTAATAAAACGTTTCTTAATATTCTGTAACGATTTTTTCGGTTTTATATCATCAGTATTAGATGGTAGAAATAATGATTTATAATTTTGATTTCTAGTTATTTGAGTATAAAATTTATAAAAATCGTAATAATCTTGGCCTTGATCAAATTTGACCATAACGTAACCCTTTTGAGTCGAATGACGAAATGAAAATATTTGTTCTTTAGGTAATGTGAGTTTATTATCGATAGTATCAGACCATAGGATGAATCCAGTCTCTGGTTCAGTTAGTAGAAGACGGAGATTCATTGGACGTTTAGGATTAAGACCTAAAATTACAAGGAAACTAAATTAAAGTTCTGGAAACGACTGTTTCTTCTTAACCGAACTGAATAATTTATGATTTTCATTCTAATGAACAAAAGAATGTCGTATTAGTCTCTTTCTTATAATTACCTGACACAACATTTCCGCGCCGACTTTTCGGTACATGTCGTTTCAGCGCACGAAACTCACGCGCAGAGACAGTTCCGCCCATGACGCTAAAGCGCCGACAGCTATGCGCAAAATGAATTTTTTCTATTCTCTTCATGTTAAATTAACAGTTCTTTCAAACTTTGTGAATAACTGTTCTATTTTCCATATGATCGAATCAGTTATTAAGGATATAATGCGCATGGTGCTGTAACCGAAACTAAGTACAAATGTTTATGAAAAACGTGAACAATATACGAGTAAAGAAAAGAGTACAGATAAGTAACATTTTACAGTGAATCAAACATTCAAGAGTTAAAGACTGATGATGCCAATGATAATATGGAAACAGAACATATTTCTTTTATTCATATTGATGAATTTAATTGATCCGATAATGTGGGAACAGAACAGGTATTCACAAAGTTTGAAAAAACTATTAATTTATCATAAACAGAAGAGAAAAAATTCATTTTGAGTGTAAGTGTCGTGCGCGCTGTGGTGTTGTGCGCAGAAGTGTCGGCGCGAAAATGTTGGTCAATCATATAATTACCCGAATCGAGTAGCCAAACGCAATATCCAGTATACACATATTTCCAGTGTTCTAATTGACAAATTTCTTTATCCGATAAAAGATACAGCTGAGATTTACACGCGCATACCACCACTTGAGAACCCATGGATGTGTACAATGACTGTATTTTTTCAATATGACTGGATGATAATGATGTCGAAGTGGCATCGATTTCTTCTTGTTGAGCTTTTGGTGCAGATTTTTCATTACAATTTGTTATATCATTAAATATCGTTGACTTTACATTAGAATTTGTACATGTTTTAGCCGTATCAAGTAATTCTAAAACAAGAAAGTACATCATAGATCCTTATATTATATTTACCTCTATTAAGTCGATAAGTATACCTGAAAATCTTCGTTGTAATTTTTCTAATTCATCACATGACCAATTTGAATCATAGGCTGTCGCTGACGATGATGTGGGTGATGTAACTAGGGTCGAATCGTTTGGTGAGAGTGTTGATGATACTTGAATTACTGTAGGTTTAACGATGCCAATGTTCTTTGTTCCACGTTCTAATGAGCGAGTACGTGATGAACTATTTGTTGGTATAGGATTTGAATCGGATGTAAATACAGTTTTTGGACGCTCTTTTGTGTTTGTATTCGAATTAGAAGATGAATTATTGTTAAATTCAGATGTACGAGATTTGGGTAAAGTCGTTTTTTTGAGTAAAGTATCGTTGATTACATACGATGTGTAATGAATATGATCATTTACTAACGAGTCGGTGTTTTGTGGAGAAGCTACAAAAAAAAATTGCAGCGATTATAAGTCTGAGTTTTTTTAGCTCTGTTTAATATTTACTTGTTTGTTCGATGCATGTTAAATTCATTTTATCTTGTTGTTCTCGTCGTTTCAATGGTTCACTCTTCATACCATGATGATAATTTTGAATTATAGATGGTTTTAGTAAAGGTTGAATTAGACGAGAGAGTGGGGTTGACGATTGTTGTTGTGTTCCATTTGCCCAAACGATTTCTTTCCCTCCAATACAATAAGAATTATATTTATTTCTAATTGTCGGTATATACTGTTCAAATTCTTTAGATATAACATGATTTTTTTCATCTGTTGAATATTTGTGATGAGGTGTAGTTTTAACTTCTGTACATCGTAGTGAAATACTTCGTTGATCAGAATTAAATGATGACTGTTTTATAGTCGATGATGATGGTTCACATATTAATAACTTGTTTTGTTGAATGGATGATAATGATGATTTTGAAATTAATAAATGAGATTTATCAAAATGATGTTGACGTTGAATGTCTGGTTCACGCATGATCCACTTTTGATCAATAACAGGTCAACGATTTTATTTTATTGTATTATATTATTATGAATGTACAAAAGAGAGAATAAAATTGAGTACACCTCTGCAAAGTAAAAAAGTAGATGACCACATTGTAAAAAGGAAAATTTGTTAACCTTCAAGATTCACACATAAAAGAGAGTGAATAATAATAATAATAATAATAATAAAGTGTTTTATGTAGCCGCCACAGTAGAATGACCCCCTATGTACAATATAGACTTGCGCAATGTACAATATAAAAAAACTAAATAGAAGAATTTAATCGTTTTGATAAATGAAAAATAGAATAGAGAACAATATCAAAAGCAAAATTATACATAATTAGAGATTACAAGGTCATCATCGTTCTGAATTAATGTTCACAAGCACGCACCAAAAGAAAATAATCTTAGTATTGATATGTGCTCGTGTGATTTCAAGTGAACTATACATTGTTGAAATAATTACCATTTCCGTTAAAAGATAGATAGATATTTGCGTGCTGTTTTGGATTGAAAATTTTTACACATGTCTCACATAAAAAGAGAATGTGTGTGTGAGAGAGAGAGAGAGAGAGAGTTTTAAAAGTTATTCTGAAGAAATGAAATGAAAATTTTTACAATCAGTAAATATTATGAGATTATTTCATAGTTGTTTGATTTCTCCTAATTCATCCGTCATAATCTATAATTGCATTATCTTGCCCGATAAATAATTTAGTTCTTCTGTCTCTGTCTCTCTCTCTCTCTCTCTTTTTCTATTAATGAATGTAAAAAAGACGAAAAAGAAATGTTGAATAAACTTTATTCAAAAGACAATCTTCATAATCGTTTTTTTCTCCTCTTTTCGCTTTCTCATATCTATCTATAAAGAGATGTCGTTTAATCTGTTAAGCTGTTTTTTGTCCATATCTCATAATAGAAAGATGTGAATTCATTCATTCATATTGTGTAATTACAAATGTGTGTAAAATGTCTTTTCAAATAAAATAAGAAAAATGTTTGTAAACTTGGATTATAGATGATGATGATATTGTGCAAGAGAATAAAATCAAATAAGACAACTCATTGAACTCATTGTTCGTCTCTCACAATTATTTTAAAACAAATAATTCATCATGTTATTATATGTAGCAAATCAAATGATGGTGCATTAGTTGATATCTTACTGGATTCACATACATCAGATAGATAAAAAAAGTTCTAAGATAAAAAAATAAATATAAAAAATGGTTAACCGTAAATGATCGTAAGACACGATATAAACTAGCCTCGTTTAAGTTATTTAACAGGATGTTCTCATCTAGGGACAACATGAAGAAGAGAGAAAAAGAGAGAGAAATAAAGGGATTATTATATAAAACATTCTTGATTCTCATCTTTGATCTTCTTGTTTGTCGTCATTATTATTAATTTCTCTTCTATCTTACGCATCAACACTAACTTCCTGTTCCGTTATAAAACATATCGTAAGAACAAGAGTGATAATAAAGGGAAAAAAAGAAAGTTTATTTATTCTGACACTGATCTACTTCATAGTAGAAGAAGAAGAAGAAAGAATGATGAATATAAATGAGAGAGATAATCACAAGACATAAAACAGATCATGTTGACTATTTTACATAACATCGTGTTTCAATTATATGAGTACATCCGAACATTAATTTTCTCTTGACGTATTTATTAATTTGAGATCAAAACATGTATATAAATGATGCCTAACAGGTTACTTATTGTGGATATAAATTTAGTCAAGTATAGAATACCAGATATATCTAATATTTACCATAAAATTGAATCTATCTACATATTAATTATCTCCTTTTATTATTAACAGTAGTCATACCTTTAAAATAGGAGTATTTCATAAATATTATCGACTAGTTGACTCTAATCTTCATTGATCACAAATTCAACAACATTTCTAATTTAAACTTTAAGAATACTGTTTTCATTAATTTCATTCGTTTGTAACTGATCATTAACGTGTGTATCAATTATTAGACATGGTATTTCTTCGTTATTGAAAAAAATCCCCCCCAAAAAAATCAGTCAAGTAGAGCAAGAGAGAGTATAGACTAGAATGTATATATTTAAGATACGTCGAGAAATGAGTATCGTATATCACAGACTATTTCAAGACTGAAATTTAAACTCATACAATGTTCTCCTCCCATTTAGCGGACAATTAAAATTAACACAACACAACGTAAAAAGAAAAAAAAGTGACAGTGATTGATTATAAATTGATTATGCTCTCTTTTTATGCATAGTTTAGAAAACCTTGACAAGACAAATGAGAGAAAACAATTGTTGTTTTTGACTTGAAATAATAAATATCGACACACAATAAGAAACAATTGATTAATCGCTTATTAAATATCAATTGTTTATTCTATTTTTATGCGAACACCAGTCTCAATGATTTATCGATTAACAAGATTACACCAGGGTTATATAATCAAGGATTCTTAATTTTACACATCAGAAATAATGAAAGTCATACTAGTTTATCATTAAACACTAGATTAATATACAAATGACTGTTAAAAAAATTATCATAAAATATTTTATCAAATTATTGAAGATATTGTTGTATATTACATGGAATTATCTCGATGAGAATTTAAAATTGAATTGGAATATGTTTAGATAAGCTAAAAAATCTTTAGTCTAATGTAATTAAAAAAATATTTATTAAATTATAAAATAAATACTTTTTTCTTCGTACTCATTTTAGTTAATATCGAAACGTTTCAATTGATAATTGAACTATAAAAAAAAACATGAGTACGAAAAAAAAAGTATTTATTTATAATTTAATAAATCTTATCTAATTTCGTATTATAATATCTACTTGTTAAAAATTAAAACATATTATTTAATTTTTTTGTTGTTGAACTCTTTGTAATCTATCGTATAAGAGTACCAAAGTATATATAATACTTTGAATAGATTCTAATTACACTTCCTTCCAGTGTAATTTTAATTAAAAATAAAAATAATCTCGTTTTGTCTAATATAAAAATCTTTGTTATAAAACTAGAAAATTTTCCTCTCAAATTATTTTAATACTAACGGCGTGTTAATTTGATTTTTTCCTCATTTTCTTTTATCATTAATGAAAATCGACACAATATGTTATTGTCTGATAAATTCTTATACCCAGAAGTGAAACACGTCTGTTCATTCACAGATTTTATTGATCATTCAGATTAATCTCTGTACAAATTAACGCACACAACAGTTGAACTCTCTGTCAAAAATATTCTCATCATTCGTATATATATATATTAAACAGTTTCTCGTGTTTTCTCTTTTGTTATTTTTCAATCCATGATATTGATCTTCTTCTTTCTTATATAAAAACTGTTACTCATTTACTTCTTTACTGATTAAAATAAAAAAAAAAATTCAATTGTTAGTCACTTGAGAAACAAAGAAATCAGTTTGACATATCACCATCTATCTACATATAAAGTATTTGTTTCACAGTTATTAATATTATTTTTTATTTTGAAAGAAAAATATTGATTTAAGTTGATCCGATGGATGTACGTGACAATGGGTGCGATAACCATATGCCTCTATGTATTTTAATATTTTTCATCTTAAAATAAAAGAAAAAAAAAAAGAAAATGAGAAATGAGTTCTTTGAATAAACATGAAATGACAGCGACGATTAACTAAATCGACTTCACACTAATCTAACCATATGGTCAATGTACATCTATTTACACTTAAACTTTCATCTGTAACCGCATCATCTTCTAACATTAAATTAAAATTCTCACTAGTGAAAATGATAGAGTAAAGTGTCTAATTGGAATCGCAACCATATTTGTCTCACTCGTGACTCTAGTATCTGACGTGAGTGAGTTTTGAAGCGATTTTCACCGAATTTGGGAGCTTTTGTAGCTGAAAGTCTTATCTATTCAATGATCTTAAAATTATTCTGAAATTCCCATTAGAGTCGGATCGCAGGAAGATTTGCTAAGCAGAGGGTCATTTTGGTTCCAATTAGGCTCTGTGTCCAATGGGAACCGTCCCGTTGAAATGACACGGGTTTGCAACGTTTTAGTAAAACCTATTTTTTAAAAGACTTTGTACGATAAACTAAGAAGTTTTTATATGATCATAATCTGGAGAATGAGCCCCGTCGAATGCTACTAATTCGAGATTTGTAGAACCAAAATTGCCAAGTTATACTTACCATACTTTAGTGTATGTAAAAACGAGATGGTTGCATATTAGGCAGTGAGCTTAATTGGAATCGTACAGCAAAATGTGTGTCTAATTGAAATCATCCCGTTCAAATTACACGAGTTTTCAACGTTTTAGTAAAAAATCTATTTTCTGCAATATTTCATAGAATATTGTAGAAAATATTTTCCACAAATAAATTCACTAACTGCTCTGTACACAATGCGCCAATTTCGAGATTTTTCCGATCAATTAGTAATATGGTAGTCCCTAAGTAATGAAAGCATATGCACTATGTATTCAAACGGAGATGATCAGAATCAAGAAACTGCTGCCCAGTCACAATCTGTCCATATTAATTTTAATTTTATGGACCATTTTGATATGCCAAACGCGAGTAATGCCATATATTAATTTACCTTTCTACCATTACTCAATATTTTTTTCAGACGATCATGTATGTAGTAGTGCATATGCTTTCATTACTTAGGGACTACCATATTACTAATTGATCGGAAAAATCTCGAAATTGGCTCATTGTGTACAGAGCAGTTAGTGAATTTATTTGTGGAAAATATTTTCTACAATATTCTATGAAATATTGCAGAAAATAGGTTTTACTAAAACGTTGAAAACTCGTGTAATTTGAACGGGATGGTTCCAATTAGACACACATTTCGCTGTACGGTTCCCATTAGGCACAGAGCCTAATGGGAACCAAAATGATCCTCGGCTTAGTAAATCTTCCTGCGATCCGTGAATTTCAGAATAATTTTAAGATCATTA